TTAGGCTTTCTGTGGTATCTGAAGTATTTTCTGAAGTATAATATGGCATATGTATTTTTTGTGTTCTATTGCCAACAATCAGATTCAAAGATCTATGATTCAGCTCACGTTTTTAAAAGCATGGGTTCTAATCAGGGGCGAACTGACAACTCATGGGTCCCCCGGGCAATAGGGGATCATGGGGCCCCTGTGTCCTTGCCCAAACTCAAAAAAGACTTAGAAAAAGTTACCAGGGGCATCTCATGGGGCCCCCTACTGACCCCGGGCCCTCGGGCAATGCCCGAGTTTCCAAATGGTCAGTCCGCCCCTGGTTCTAATGCTCCTACCACTGATATCAGCTATTATGACATGTAATAGAATGGTGCAGATCGTATATAACAGCTTGTCAGGCTACATCTTGCTACAGAAAAATGGCAATGGATTTGCACACAGGACGCTGACTCACTTTGACCAAAACTTTACCAGGTAGGTTAAAATGGCCTCAGTTCTACTCTCCATCTGCAGGAGAGGTCCCTCAGATGTGTTTTGATCCCTAGTGGGCTTAATCGTTGAGGTAATTAAACTCACTAAGGGGTGAAATGCTTCTGAGGGACCTCTCCTGCAGGTAGAGAGCATTGTTGAGGCTTTTTTACATTACCTGGTTTATTTTCGGTCACAGTGAGTTGGCATCCTGTGCTCAGGGTGGCAACAATGCTGCACTACTGAATTCAAAGCAGAGTTGCCACTACAGTGGTATGAACAGATGTTGCAGGGGGCATTGTCATTGTCATTGTCAGAGCAAATTAATAATCCTGCATCTTGTCAATCAGCACCTGGCCACATGTAGACCTGTCCACTTCTTTTTGGAATGACAGCACTGCCTCCGTTTCTGAAATCCTGCAACTGTGAGCTGCTGTGTCTATGTGGTCAGACTTCAATGGTCAACTACCCCTAGTTTTTTAAAAGGAGGTCCTACTTTACCATGCTGGCCAAGTTGTCTAGCAAGTCGTATAGTTACAGGAGTTTAGACAAGCCATAATACTGTACTATACACTATAATATGGATGGCATTCATCCCCATATTAAGGGGTCTGTTCTCCTGAAACTGGAAGCCCCAGCATTGTCTCTGTCAGCCTACAGTAAACAAATCACAGCACAGACTCCCACACAGCAAATGCCCTGTGCAATCACCAATCCAAATTCCAAAATGGCGCCACAGGTGCTGCGTGCTTGTTATCATTAAAGGATAAATTCACCTTTCGTAACATGTTACATCCATATTCAGGGTATAATATATTACGATCGGACCGTCCCTCGCACCCCCCTATCCCCATTGTGATAGCTAGTGGGGGATCTTCTCCTTGCTAGCTGTCACAATTTGAAAATTTTGACAGCATCACTCATTCACAGTATTCTATGAATGGGGAAATCTGCAAGTCGTGACAGCCTTTGCAGGTGTTGGCTTGTAGTTTTCAATGAAATACCATGGTGCCGCACAGCAATGTGGTAGTTCATTGAGCCTTGCTGTCAGTATCTGCTTGCCTGTTTGGGATGTACTAGCAAGCAGATATACTGGCAGGTTAGGAGGAGACCTACATGGCACAAGTGATCTGCTGATTGCTGGCGTAGTGCCTTAGAGTCTCACAAACAAAAAATAGTAAATGCACATTATTATTTTTTTTACCTGCAAAGAAATGTGCATTTATTATTTTTTGTTAAAAGGTGAACTTATCATTTTTGAGGCTACCTAGCCACACATAGGCATACAGCTTCAGAGGCAACATTTCAGAATCTGGATTGACAATTGCGCTGGGTAATTGTTGAGCAGGCACCCACGCTGTTCCTTGTTTTCTGTGGGCTGTTGGAGACTGTTGGGCTAGATGTCAGGGACTGTGCAGTGCAATGCTTAGTATGCACAGCCCAGGCACCCACTCAGCAATCACGATGCCCAATCGCCAATCCTGGTTTCAAAATGGCTGAAACCACTGAAGCTGTTTGTTTGTATATCGCTAGTGATCTTGACCACGTAAAATCAGACAGCACCAGTGTCACCTTTTGGAATCTGGTGGCTAATGGGCTACGATAAAATAAAACTTTTGCATTATCAGCAGGCACAACTAGATAAGCACTTACCCACGCTACTACCCATATCTCCAGATTTTCTGGAAGGAATGCTGCACTAGCAGCAATAGTTATGCTACATTTTGCTTATACCCAACATTTGTTTTTTTTTTGTCTTCTCTTCACAGAACCAGGTATGTCAAAAGGAGACTGACTGCTTCTTCTAAAAAAATGCCAATTGCCTGATTGTCATGCTGATCTAATGTGCATTGGTCATGAGTCTTAACTAGAGACACAGTCATGTAACTAAAGCAAGGGTCTCCAGACTATGGCCCTCCAGCTGTTGAAGTACTACAAGTTCCATCATGCCTCTGCCTCTGGGGGTCTTTCCTGTGGCTGTCAGAATCTTGCAAGGCCTCATGGGACTTGCAGTTCCTCAACACTTGGAGGGCCATAGTTTGGAGACCCCTGCACTAAAGCATTAGCAATAGCAGTGGCCCTTAAAACTGGTATTAAACCTAAAAGCAAAAATTAATTATATTACAGCTTACTATTTCTTAGATGTGGTGGCTGCATTCATTTTCCTTTTTAGGCTTTCTTCTATTTTTACCTGGTGAGCCAGCCAGTATGTCTGTTTTTCAAAGGAACTAGCTCTCCAGCAGAATGTATCAGTCAGAGTGATAAAACAATTTATTTAACACAAGCAGGGGTGCTTACAATGCTAAGCTGTTACTTATTAATTTAAAACCTTTATATTAAAAGGAACAAAACATAACTTCTTATAAAGTGTGAGCTAGAGTCTGGCTTCAATTTGTTAGTGTATTTAAATCTGATAGTACATCTAACAAACTTTGCCCAGACTGACAATTCTTCTGTCCAAAGGTGCCCCCTGTGCTCCTTCATCCAGAGTCAGGGCACTCTAATATGCGAGGAGTGTTACTGGCCAAATCACCAGGTGAAAACAGATGGGGAAAAAAGCCTAGGAAAACGAATGTAGCTACCACATCTCATGATTGGTAAGCTGCAATATATTACATTTTTGGATGTGGGTTTAACACTTTAAAGGGTAAGTTCACCTTTGGAACATATTACATGTTCCACTAGTTTTTAGGGTGGAACATGTAACATGTTCCCATAGCTGCAGCCGTGGCCCCCCTCCCTCTGACAGATAGTATGTGGAGAAGTCTTCCCATGCTATCTGTCAAATTTGAAAACATCACGGCAGTGTGGGGCTCCACCTACATGGCCATGTTATTCATTCAAGGACTTCCGTGAATGAATGAACTCCAAATCCCGACAGCCTTAGCGGCTGTGGACTTGTAGTTTTCAATGAACTATCACGGCACTGTGAAAAATCGTGGTAGTTCATTGAAGCTTCCTGTCAGTATATCTACTTGACCGTATATATCTCACACAGCTAGAAGATATTCTGACAGGTCTGCAGGAGACCTGCATGGCATCACAATCTACAGATCACTGATGCAATGCTTTTCAGGCATCTGCAGAAAAAAATAATAAATGCACATTATTTTTACCTGCAAAAAAATGTGTATTTATTATTTTTTTGTCCAAAAGGTGAACTTATCCTTTAAGTATCAAGTAATACTCAGATCCTCAGCTTGGTTCATTCCAGTGCAGCCTGTAAACTGTTAAAAGTGTTTGTGCCAGGTTTCACCCTTAGAATTGCCGGATGCTGATATTGTGAAGCAAAGCAGAAATGATCCTCATTTCATTTGCATTCATTTGCTAAATTAGACCAGTAAAATTTGGCTTGAAGCACTTAGTTTTGTTTAAATAACTGGAAAATATTTGAGCTTCTCCCCATGGCCATAACATTTGTATAAAATGTTAATAATGAGTAAAATATATTCTGTAAAGTATATTTATGCAAAAGAACAAAAATTGTATATATTGCAGCTTACCAGCCCTTAGATGTGATGCCCTGCATTCGTTTTCTTTTTTTTTTTTTTCTTCAGGACAAGGTTATTTTTTGTGCAGACGAATTCCTGTTAGAATTCAGGCTTCCCTGTAAGCAGAACTGAAATCTCAACCGAAATTCAACCGAAATCTCAAACAACAGCTTTCCTAGTTCTCTTCTGTGAACTATAAAACGCTTTCCCCTCTGTAATGGGGAAAGAGTGGAAGGTGTTTGTAGTCCTGTCTTAGGGTGAAAACATTGCTCCTTCATAGATACAATGAGTGGGGAGTGAGCGCTGTCATCCTACACAGGATGTGTGTTCCTGGCAGGATCTGCAGGTGAAAATAAAGGGAAAAAAACAAAACTAATGAAGCACCACATGTAAGTTACAATACCATACAACTTTGTCATTTTGGTTAGATATGTTTTAAGCATAGAAACTTAGCAAAGTACTCTATGCAGATAACACATGATATAAAAGTTGAAAGATATTGACATCCGCCTACTGGTGATTTCAGCTAGATTTATGATTTATGCATCCTACCCCCACCAAAAACCCCTGTCAGATTGAATTCAAACTTAATGTAGGTAGACCATCACATCACTGCCTGAACAGACTAAACAGACAGAGTGCAACATGTATGGTCGTCTTACAAAAGAACACCAGGAAATAAATCACTGATTAGTATACCCCCATACACAAAACACTAAACAGTTAATACAAATTTGAAAATCCTTACCATTCAGGTGAAAAGTCTAATTACATTTCCATGGCCTCATCTGTGTAATTCAAAAGATAACAGCATCTGATCTGCCTAGAAGGAGGTGTAACAGCAGGGATGTCATCATATCCTCTCCTTTCTCTCCGCAGTAAAAGGAAACTACACTTCCCATCAACCACAGGGAATTGTAGTGAATGTGGATGAGTACACTAGGCTGTACAGCAGCCCCTGAACTCAGCCTAATGTTTTCCTATGTGTCCATGTACACATCGTCTTTTACAGTCATTCACAGGCATTTAAGTTTACAGTTGTTTTTTTGAACGCAGAAAACTTGCGTTCAGCAGTCGATTTTATCAGCGTTTCAAATGCAAAATGCTTGTAAATGTGGCTAAACGCGGAAAATCGCATTTATAAACATTTGCATCTGAAAATTATTTATAACTCTTCCAGTTCCCAATGCTGTCCAGAGCCTTTTTCATCATGAGAAATGCATGCAAACCATTTTCAAGGTGGACAAAACACTGAACACAGGATGTTCCCACCAAGTTTGTCTCACATTGTAATGACCAATTCACACCTCAGGCCTCTCCCACCCTTGGAAACAAAAGATATGTTAATGACCATTCACACCTCAAATTCCTCATGAAGACCCCTTGCCAGGTGACCTTAATGACTCACTCCACCAGACACCTTTCCCACCCTTGGAAACAAATGAAATGTTAATGAGCAATTCACACCTAATTATCTCAACACATACTACTGTCTCTGCTTCTACTCTTGTATTTCTCTGATACAGTGTGAAATAGTTAATAATTTACCATTTTTCAGTGCATTCTGGGCATTTCGGAGGTTCTCCTGTGCTCATCTTTAAAAAACGCTTCAAAACACAAGCGCACATAAACACGTTATGCAAACACGGCTAAACAGACGTCTTTTAACCTACATTTTCCAGCAGTCAGTTCCATCGTTCAGAAGTGTCCCGTGTACATGGGGCCTTACAAACAGGAAACCAAAGAGAATTAACAACTTGATTTGAAAATGAATAGCCTATTTCATAGCAACTACTGAGTGAACTAGAAGATGGATGACATATTCAGTGAAGGTAGTAAATAAGCAAGAAGGACATGTAAAGACGTTTTTGTCTGGAGTTCTGCTTTAAGGGCAATTGAACTTCTATTGCTACTTTTGGAGGTTATGGTGGGAAGCCCTCTATCAATGAGCTAAGCATTGCTAAAACATAATTGCTAGTGACAGAGCAGTAACAAAGCAACAGACCACTAGTTTTGTCAGGAAGGGATAACTCCAGCAGATTTCCTGTTTGTAAGACCAATGGCTGCTATGCCTCCTATTCCCCCAGCCACTGGTCTTAGCACATCCCTTCCTCCAGTAAGCAGTGATATAATACAGCCCCACTTGCAGTGGTGGTCGGACCGAGAATCTCAGAATTTCAGGTAAAGTATCAGTGTTGTGTGATAGTGATTCTGTAACTGGTGAAATGTGAGCTTGTGTAGATGGGCTTTGTTTATTTCAAAGCTGCCCAAACACATGCATTTAAAAGCAAAGAGGCTGCATATGCTTTACTTGCAGCACCAACAGATCTCTGTAGGATCTTTTGAATCCAAAGAAATGGAAAGCAGGTGAAATGCAGTAAAAGTGCCACATCTTCTGTGCACAGTTTTAAGCTCATCACAAGGCACAAAAAAACTTCTATTTAAATATACTTCTCAATAGTCGCAGCCAATATGAATCCTTTCACAATATATTCATTGAGAAATAATTTTCAGGCAGAGACAACCGGAAACAGAATCATAAATTGGTATAGCAGCAGGCCAGGTCAGTCATATAGCAGTCAAATACTGTAGGTCTGTTTCTGTAGAAGGGATTGCACAGCATAATGCCAAAATCAGGTACATATTCAAGGGGGATGTTGCAGAACACAGGAGATTGAAAATGTAGCCCAGAATGATGTCTGAAACAGCACCTGGAGTCAACCTATCCAAAAGACCAAGACCAAGCCAAAGCTCGACAGAGCCAATAAGCAGTGGTTCTCAACCTTCCTAATGCCGTGACCCTTTAATACAGTTCCTCATGTTGTGGTGACCCCCAACCATAAAATTATTTTGGTTGCTACTTCATAACTGTAATTTTGCAGTGGGTGGAATAGTGCCACATCATTGGTATCAGTGGGAGGAGTAGTGCCACATCACTGATGTCAGTGGGAGAAATAGTGTCCCATCGTCGGTATCAGTGGGAGGAATAGTGCCACATCATTGGTATCATATTCCAAATATTTCCGATGGTCTTAGGCGACCCCTGTGAAAGGGTCGTTTGACCCCCAAAGGGGTCGCGACCCACATGTTGAGAACCGCTGCACTAAAGGAACCATCGCATGTGGTGAGCTAAGGTAGACTCGTTCAGATGCAGTGCACTTAGTTCATAGAGAGATGAAAACACAGGGGGACAGAAATTTTATGTGGTGGTCTGGATTGGTACTGCAGAATGAAATGAAAACGAGAAGCGCACCAACCTTGCGCATTACCTCAGTAACCAAAATTTATTAATTGTAAAAAATATACTCACAAACAGCGAATGAAATCAGGCATGTAAGTCCTCACAGGGACTTGAAGATAGCGTGAGTCCCATCAAGGGAATGGGTGTTCAGCTGACGCGTTTCGAAGGGGGTCCCTTCTTCATCAGAGCTAACTGAACTGTGAGTGCTCTCTCCTATATATACTCCTGGACTATAAATATATATATATAGGATTTCATTCGCTGTTTGTGAGTATATTTTTTACAATTAATACATTTTGGTTACTGAGGTAATGCGCAAGGTTGGTGCGCTTCTCGTTTTCATTTCATTCTGCAGTATTGATCGGGTTTCCCCAGCCTTGTTTTGGAGCCCTTTATGCATTGGTGGACGATTTCTCCAGGCCTGGTTCCATCTATTCGCCACCTGTCTGAGTCCTAGAGCGCAGGAGAATTCGTCTTTGATTTACGTTGGTCTGGATTGGTAGCAATAGGTAGTACCAGAGAGGACAATGGAGAGAGAGAAAGGGAAGAAGCAACTAAGAAAAAAAAAAAAGGTGCGTGGGAGAAGAGGGTCAGTGGCGAAAAGACAGATTCCTTCCCCAGGGGGCCCAAGATTAGCTTGGGTAAGACCAGGCAGCACCTTACCATTCCAGAAAACTCGTTGGCGGAGCCATCGATGGATACTTGTGTAATCAGGGCTGTCAAATACATAAAAATTTGTTGCACATGTCCGTGAGGATCGCTGTTAGTTTCTCATTTACAAGCATCCCCCATTTCACCTCACCGAACGAAAGAAGGGGCATTTTCCATGCTATGCTTCTCACTTCCTATGTTCCATTATAGGAAATGAAGGGACATTTTTTCAGTGGGGCTTTAAGAGAAAAAAATAAAGTGATATGGGTTTTAGCCCTTCCCAACTCTATTCAAAACTGAAAAAAAAAAAAAGTTTTGGCTATACATACAAATTACGCCACGTGTTCTTAACCTTTTATCCATGGAGGAACTCTTGAAATAAGTTGTAGAATACAGAGATATAAAGATTGATATATAAAAATAAAGAAATCGAGATATAAAGAGATAATGGGGTAAAGAATGTCTTGTACCTGTTGGAGTATTTGACAACCAAGACAGATTATTTTTTTAACACCACCTGCTGTATATGAAAAAAAATTATTGTCAGTAACAATATTGAAATGAAATAAATAATGACAAAATTATGTCTTGATGAAAGAAATGCTGACAGTGAATATTGTGGCATCCCCTAATTAGAGTTTCTTATATAATATACACTCGCTGGTCACTTTGTAAGGTACACATTGCTAGTGCCAAGAAAATGCCCCCCACACAATTACATCACCAACACCAGCCTAAACTGTTGATCCAAGGCAGGATGGATCCATGCTTTCATGTTGTTTACACCAAATTCTGACCCTACCATCTGAATGTCACAGCAACCAGTCTGCCCATTCTCCTCTGACCTCTGACATCAACAATGCATTTTTGTCCACACAACTGCCACTCACTGGATATTTTATCTTTTTCGGACCATTCTCTGTGAACCCTAGAGATAGTTGTGCGTGAAAATCCCAGTAGAACAGCAGTTTTTTAAATACTCAGAACAGCCCGCCTGGCAACAACGGCCATGGCACATTCAATCCCCTTTCTTCCCCATTCTGATCCTTAGCTTGAACTTCAGCAAATCATCTTCACCATGTCTACATGCCTAAATGCATCGAGTTGCTGCCATGTGAATGGCTGATTAGCAGTTTGTTTTACCAAGCAATTGAACAGGTGTATCTAAAAAAGTGGCCAGTGAGTGTATACCTTAGGCTGGCCATACACTATACAATTTTCTGTTCAATTTCTGCCCAATTTCCTTGGATTTACCTTGAACTATGTAGTGCATAGGCCTGCCTAATTGGATACAGTTGAAAGTGTTATTTAGGTTTGACCTCATATTAAATGGTTTTTGGTAAATCTAAAGCAAAATTCTCAAGAAATGTGTATAATGTATGGCCAGCCTTTCTTCGGTAGTCAGTGGAAAATGTCCCCTTTGCATTGGTGGTCAGCATCGGTGGGAGAGCAGGTCACCACTGCGCATTGTTCAAGGAAACTTTATCAACTGATCCATGAAACCTTGGTTGAGAGTGGTTGCTCTAAGCTCTCGATAATTATTTTTGTGATCATTTGTGATCACTTAGCAACCTGAGTTTAACATTTTCAAAACATTCAACTGAAAATGAGGGAATTTTCAACAAATGGTTGAAGTGACACTCTTGTCACAAAAAAAAAGCCCTAAACAAAAGAAGACATTAATACTTTTCTCTCTGGAGAGTGGACAATCATAACTTCTACAGCAGCTAAAGAATACTCAGAATCTGACACACTTCCAGGAGTGTCGTTCCCTGCTGTGGTTACATCCACCAGCCCTACATCACTACTGTGTACTTCCATAAGTGTGTAGGATGTTGAAGATTTTTAAACCACTGTAGCTCTTGAATTGAAGTTAGGACTTACCACCAGGGAGGTAAGTATTATAGCTACCGTATTATTTTCCTGATGGCATCATTTGGAATTTTTTAGTGACAACAGTGTCTCTTTAATTGCATGGACTTAAGTCAATAAGGCTTCCTAGTTGTGGATTAAAAGACACACTGCTGACCTGGATTCATTTACTCCTCACTGATCTGCCATTCAGGATGTAAATTTCTCTTAGCACTTCAGTAATCATGTCCACTTCATTGGTTTACTTCTTGTAATCGGATTCCAGTACATAGTCACTATACACCAGAGTGTATTGATAATTCATTAGCCAAGGTTTACAGTTACACTGGATGACTTTCCTCCAGATTTTGGACTCAGTGTATTGACCTACTTTACAACTGTGTGTCTGATTACAGAGAGGGAAGTTGGCTAATAATGGATATATTATTATAGGTTCAGTCTATTAAACAGTATACATGGAGTCAGGTAGGCTTTATCACTCATTGGACTCAGGTGGTAATATCTCCCTGCTCTGTTGCCTGTCTTCTTAGAGTATTAGATCAAAATCAGTAAGCCACTGCCAACACTGTCATGTGTTCCCACATCCCTAAAAATGTCTATTTCATTTAGTGT